CTCTCTCTCTCTCTCTCTCTCTCTCTCTCTCTCTCTCTCTCTAGCTAGTCCTGACTGTCCTGGAACTCACTCTGTAGACCAGACTGGCCTCAAGCTCACAGAGGTCCACCTGCCTCTGCCTCCTGAGTGCTGAGATTAAAGGTGTGTAGCGTCACACCTGGCTAAAGTATTAAAATTTTTAAAGACTTTAGGACTTGTGAAGTTATAGTGTTTTACACTAACATGAGATCTTACAGATGAACAAGATAGGAAAGGCTGTGTATTTCTGTGTCAGGCTGGTAAGGGATCAATTGTGCCAGTTAGTATTCTTGTCACTTTGACACAAGACAGAGTCATCTGGGAAGAAAGAACCTCAGTTGAGAAAACATGTCAATCTTTAATGTAGGCAAGCCTGTGGCAAATTTTCTTGATTAATGGTTCACCTTGGAAGGCCCAGCTCACTGTGAACAGGTCCACCCCACCTTGGGCAGATGGTCATGGGGTATATTAAAAAAGCAGGCTAATCAAGCATGAAAAAGCAGACCAGCAACAGCATTCCTTCATGGTCTTGGCTGCATTCTCTGCCTCCTGGCTCCTGCTTTGAGCTCCCGCCCTGGCTTCCCTCAGTGGGGTACTGTGATCCAGACATGTAAGTCAAATAAACTCTTTCCTCCCCAGATTGCTTTTGGTCATGGTATCTACTACAGTAACAGAAAGCAAATTAGGACAGTGTGGTGTATGTGTGGATGGTGCATGTGTACACGTGTAGATATGCATTCCTGTACTCGTGCATGTTATGTGCATGAAAGCAGAGGCCAGAAGAGGATGTTAGGTGTCTTGCTCCAGCTTATTACCTCAGAACAGGGCCTCTCACTGAGTCTGGAGCTAGGCTGGTGACTAAGGAGCCTGAGCAGTTCTCTTTCCTCTGTGCCCCATAGCACTGTGGTTACAGGCTTACACAGCCATGACCAGCCTTTTACGTAGGTACTTCGGATCTAAGCTCAGATCCTCATGGAGGCACAGCAAGAGCTCTCGCTTACCTAGTCATTCCTCTGGCCTCAGTCACTGCTTTTTAAGATCTGCTTTAGAAAACTACAATACTAACTAGAAGAAAGTGGCGGGGGGGGGGGCTGGAGAGATGGCTCAGTAGTTAGGTGTACACCCCACCCTTATAGAAGACCTGAGTTCAAATCCTAGCACCCATGTGGAGCAGCTCACAACTGCCTATAACTCCAGATCCAGGGCATCTGACACCTCTGGCTTCCTTGGACACCTGCAATCATGTGCACAGAGACACAGGAATAAAAATAAATCTACAAAAGACAATGAAGCGTGGGCGCCAATTTTTCTAGAGATGGTTCCTTCCTTTGGGACAGCTTAGGCCTGTGAAAGTCGTGGTACAAACAGTGGGGAAAGCTGACCAATATCTGACAACTACATTCCTTCTCCCTCTCAAAAATAAATCATAGGCTTGGGGTTTTCGTGAAAATTCACCACTAAAGGCTACTGTGGGCATTTACCACGTGCTAGGGAACACTAGGGACTGCTAGGGATTTTTCTTCATTGGGTTGCTGTGTTCTAACTTTATTAACCAAAGCTTTTCAGGTATAACAGTTGTACTCTGAGGAATTATTTCTAAAATACTGGGGACTTGAGAATCTTTTTTTTTTTTTTTTTTTTTTTTTTTGTATCACAACAGGATATTCATAGCATAGAAGCTACTTTTGAGTGTGGAGCTGTTTTGGACACTCACACTGTGAAACCCCAAGTTCACACCGCCTTTGAGCAGTTACCATTTAGAAATGGCATATGACTCATTCCATACAGTACAGTTTTCATCCCCCAAAAGCACACAAAGATTTTAGCTAGCACATCTCTGCTGCTCTGAGGTCAGCAGCGATGAGGAAGGGACCATCAGCCCACTGGATTCGGAGTAACGACAGAAGCAGAGGCTTCATCTTCTTTGGTTTCAGGAGAGTTGGTAGGAAAGTTAACACCTGCTTTCTCCTTCTGAGAGAGATCCGCAGGGCTAGAGAGAAGGTACCTGTGTGCTAATCACCTCCCTGCCTCCTTTCCTGTTGCCCTCCACCATCCTCTCGGACCTCCTCCAAGCTCACCTGGTCACTCTCGATGACAGCACGTGCCCACTCATGAGCCTTGTATAGCTCATGCCGGCGGTCTGGCTTCTCCTGGAACCGAGGTTCCTTTTTGGCTGGGTCATCGTCACCAAAACAGGGTGACTGTGCTTTGGGGACAAGTTTGACATCATCGACAAAGATGAATGGCTTGAATATGGACCTGGAGAGAAAGGAAAGCGGCGTTAGCCAGACTGAGCTTGGTGCCTGGAGTACCCAGTGATGAGCCAACAGAGGCAGGCAGGGCAGGCCAAGAGACACACGGCTGTATGTTGTCGTCGCTATTTCTATAAAACTAGCAGCCATTGACGAAGGCGGATGGTGAAAGAGACTTTTGCTGCTCTGAGAAGATGACTAGAAAGGCCCCTTTTTGCTAGGAAAGAAGGGTAAGTAGACACAATACTCCAAGACAGGGGAGAATAAACCATGTATTTGAATGGCACAGAGGACTGCCCCTTTCTCTCCTGGGAAGGCAGCGGTTTTTGGTTTTGATCTTAAGGGTCTACTTGAAAAGTCTTTGAAGAATCTCATAGACTAGAGGAGGACAGATTGAGGTGATATCAGCTAAGCCCAGAGGCCCCAGAGAGGACATGATCAGGGAGGGAAACAGAAGGCTGGCACTGAGCAGAGAAGGTGGTCAATGCCTCCTGCCCCGTTTGCCTCCTATTCTCCCGGCAGGATGAGCATATCTTAGAGGAAATGGCTGAGTCTGGGCACATGCACACATGGACTTGTGAATACCTGGGTATGCATCACACAAATACATATACAAACCCCCCAAGCAGCTACACATATAAAGAGCTGTACAGGATGAGAGATACCCACAGCTGGTTAACAGCTGGAAGAAAGCCTTATTCTCTCCCTCTCTCCTCCACAGCCCAAGAAAACACAGCTGGGACAGAGGTGCAATTCTGGCAGACACCCTGAAGGCCACTTGTAATAACAACAGGAGACAATGAGAAAGTGGGCCTTTGACACCCCACAGAGTGATTTTTTTTTCTCCTCTCAGTGGTACCTGTGGGCCCACTTCAAGAAGCCACAAAGAGGTTAAAAGTGAGCTGGGATGTGGGCTTCCTCAGCTCTGGCACATGTGAGACTTGAGGCAGCTAGAGCTCCCTCACCATTGTGCTACAGTCATGGACACTCTGACCTGAAAAGGACCATGAACCAGTCACCCTTGCTTTCTTAGATATGTCCTAAGATTTGCGGTGTCAACATCACTCAGAGCCCTGGAACCAGCCCTTTCCTGCTGAATCAGAATCAGCATTTAGCAAGACCTGAAGGGATTCATAATACCTAAGACGGAGGGACACTGCCATGGGTAACATGCTGATAAGTGACCTCTAGGTTTGTTTTCCGAGGCCATGGTAGGAAAGAAAGCTCTAGAGGGAGAGACACGAATCGTGACATGCAGAAGTAAGGCCCAGTTTCATTTAACCTGAAGGCCAGAGGCAGCTAGACCTTTTTACCTGAGCTGGGAGAGTGAGTGGTGCAGGTTAAGGACAGCTGTCTGGCTGGGACGCTCCTGTCCTCTCAGGTGACATGCATATTTACCAAAAATGAGTCCACCTGAACTTCTCAAAGAATTAATGAAAAATGAGGGAACAGGTGGGATGGATCGATAGCTCAGTGCTTAAGACTGGAGCACTTGCAGAGGACCTGGGTTCAATTCCCAGGGCCCACATGCAGTTCACAACCTTCCGGAACTTCAGTTCCAAGGGAATCAGATGCCCTCTTCTGGCCTCTGCAGGCCCTGCATGCATGCTGTGCGTAAAGATACATGCTGGTAACACACTCATACACATTTAAAAAACAATATTTTAAATAGGGGGGGAAACAAACAGAAAAAACCCGACCCATTTCTCAGCCCTGTCTGCCAGACAGCACAACACATGCCAGCTAGGTTGTTCCAGGGCCCTTGTTACTCAGCCTTTGTTTGTTTGTTTGTTTTGTTTTGTTGTTTTTTGGAGACAGGATTTCTCTGTGTAGTTTTGGTGCCTGTCCTGGATCTCACTATGTAGACCAGGCTGGCCTCGAGCTCACAGAGATCCTCCTGGCTCTGCCTCCCGAGTGCTGGGATTAAAGGTGTGTGCCACCGCCACCCCGCATTACTTAGCCATTACTAAAGGAAATCCCAGAATAGAGGGGAGCTACCCATGGACAGAGGAAGACACTTCCACTTCCTGCAGCCTCCTGGAACTAGATCATTGCTTTCTCGCCTCAGACTGCTGGGCGTGAAGGAGGAGTTAGTACAAAGCTTCACACTGTCTGAACCAATTGTGATTACCTCTCAAGGGAGAAGAGGAGGAGAGGAAGAAAGAAGTGTGGGCCCAGCACCCACTGGCATCAGACTGCTGCCATCCAGTTGTTCTGGTCTCTGACCATACAGTTGTCATAACAACAAGCATCCTCCTTGTCCCATAGGGTGAGCAGCACTTAGATGGCTGCAGTCTGTGCATGTGATACAGCAGCACCCTGGCTGGCCCAGGGACCCTTCTGCCCACGCAGTCCACTCAGCTCAGGGCTGTACCAAATGGAGCCAGTGACAGGCAGAACTGTTGAGCAGCTGAGCGGAGCCTCCTTGGAAGGAGACCTCCCATTCTCATTGACCCCAGGGACACGGCACCAGATGCTCATCTGTGACATGCTGCCTCCTCAGTCCACCAGCCTCTGCCCTGTACCACCCAAACTCCAAGGGGGAGGGAGGAGCGATCTCTTCCAGAGAACCCTGCCCTGCTTCCTGTGCTCTGACACACTGGTCACACCAGGCATGGCAGCCCAGCAGCTCTAAACTGAGTGAGAACAGGAGAGACAGACAGTTGGACAGAGGCCATGAATAGGAGTGCATCTGGCCAGATGTAAGGCCAGCGGTTTTTCTCTGCTTCTCAAGTGGACTGAAGTGGTGGCTACGGTTTCTTCCAGCGCCTAAGGCAGCTCTGCTGGCTCTGCGCCTTTCCGTGGCCATTTCTACGAGGCATGCCAAGTTGTCATTCCAACGACAGTAAGTTCGTGCCAACCAAAGTTTATCTTCTGCATCCAATATATAGGGGGAAATGGAGTGAAATACAGGAACTCAGTATAATGTCAGCCTCCCTCACCACCTACTAAATGTCAAGTTAGTTTACTGAACGATGGTGTCAAGTGCCAGGTAGCTTTTCTACGGCAAAGGGTACCATATGTTTAGCCTTCTCAACACCCTTTCTATTTGAAAACTAAACACTAAATATGAGTGGGTCCCCATAATATTTGGAACTGCCGAAGCTTCCCCAGAGTTCTTTTTCAGGCTGTAAAAAAATCAGCATCCTCAACTGCTACACATATGAGGCATCAGTTTGTGATTAAAGGTAAACTTGAGAGTGGATAAAGAATGTAAATGACAAAACTATGTAATTCTAGTTATTATAAAATGGTAAGAATTGTTGCTAATACCTGGCTGAAGAAATAAATATCTGTCATTCATGTCTGATCATCTGTACCTCTGGCCCATGCTCTACAAAGAAAATGTGGGACACTCGGCAGCTGGCAAACATTCTAATGTTTTGTCAATCTTTAATGCAAAGCACACTTATGATTCCAAATAGATAAGGGCATGCGCAGGCGTCTTTCCACACCTGAGCCTCAGACGGCAGCTTCTTCAATGCACTTGAGTGCTAATTAAGCCCACAGAGATTAAATGACTTGACCAAGGTCACAGGATGAGGTGGTGTCAAAGGTGAAACTGCCTCTCTGGGTCATGGCTGTACCTTCCAGGCCACTCTGCTCCAGTATCCCTGAGGGCCGCACTGCTTCCAGGTAGGAGGGAATGGCCCCATTTTACACATGAGATGTGTGAGGCTCACAGAGTTCAGTGCTTTGTCCAAAACTGCTCTCCAAATAAGTATCTAAATTCAGATCTTCTCAATGTGAAGAAAGCATTCCCTACCACTGCTCACTCCTGACCCTCCATCTGCCTTTTATACACATGTACTACTACAAAAGGCAATCGCTCTGATCAGCGAACAGTCTGACCTCAGACACACTTTGTTCTGGCTGAAGATAGAGACATTCCCCAAGTGGCTAGACCGGGCTCATCTTGTGACCAAAGTTCCCAAGGGACAGGAGACACAGTAAGGAACAATGCATGGGCCCTAGCTCAGATGAATCTGTTCAACCCTGGGGGGGAGGGGGTAGGAGGGGACCTGCCTAGAATAACCAGCTTCTCTCAAAATGTAGGTATCATTCTAAATGGCTCATCTGTGGTCATATGACAATGTCACTTTAATCTTGAGATCAGAACCCCTCAGTGAAGGAGTTTGCATTGTACATGAGCACTGGGACATTGTACTCCACACTGGGAAGGGGCATTGTACACAGCACTGAGAAGGGACATTGTACACAGCACTGGGAAGGGGCATTGTACACAGCACTGGGAAGGGACATTGTACACAGCACTGGGAAGGGACATTGTACACAGCACTGGGAAGGGGAACTGCACTTGAGGAGCACCCAGTGGCCCTACAGACACATGGTGGGCTAAGTCAGAAGCCTGGAGGCATCTTGGAAGGTCAGACTATAATAGGAAAAGAGGAGAGAGATGGTGTAGGAGGGATAGAGTGGAATTGAGAAGGATATGGGTGCCATTTGGTCCAGGGCCCCCCACTCCACATTCTGGTTATGCCTTGTGGACCCAAAGGCCTTTTGTGCTTCCTCTAGGAACAAATAAGTACCATCTAAGGCTGACAGTTACCCTGATGGTACAATCTGGGCCAATCCTTGAGGGGGCGGTTGCTGCTCCTTCTACCTCTCGGCATCATCTCTCCTGTTAAGGTAGCTGTATGTTTCCCCTGTGGGCTCCCCAATCCTTGAGTCTGCGTGGGCTTGCCTACATCCATGGCCTGCCTCTCTGTGCTGTCCCAATCTAACAACTACACCTCTCAAAAGAAATAAGCTCAGATTTGTGGTGGTTGCTGATTTCTATGGTGTAAATGCTCTCTCTGTGGCCCATGTGGCCCCACCAAAGACATCCCAGTGCATGGGAAGCACTGATGAACACGAGTACTCTGGCTGCTACATACCCTAACAGTCTACCCTTGACAGACTAAAAGAACCAAGGTACCTCTCTAAATATTCATTCCCTTCCAGCCTGCCAACATCCGCGGAGCATCAGCAAGTACTGATTTCTCAGGAAATGGCTCCTATAGGTCAGAGCCGGTTCCCCAAAGCCAACCGGCATCCCTGTCAATAAATGAAAAGCCTGCTGACTCAGCAGAGCAGCAACATTATGGTAGAATTTGTCTCCTTGGTAAGCTTGATTAAAGGGCCTTTGCCTCTCCCTCAAACATTCAAGTGCTGATTTTCCTTCTCCTTTGAACCCCAAATCTACATGGTGCCTGGCACAGGAGAGGAGGGGGCATGAGAGATGAAGGGATGAAGGAAAAGGTCGGATGTGAAAGCCAGCTAAGATCTGTAAATTAATGTGTGGGGCATGACGGAGAAGGACCCAAAGCAGATGGAGCCCCAGACAGAGCCCAATACCAACTGGGAGGAGCAAGTCATCATCTTGAAACATCTCTGCATTTTAATCCTAGCAGAAGTCAGCTGAGATCGCCTTAATTACACCACCTGATGACAAAAGACAGTGTTCTTTGTGCCCAATTACGGAGAAGCAGTGAGGCGTCAAACAGGATGACAACTAACGGCAGTCCTGAGTCACAGTGGGTGACACAGCCTGTTTCTCCCTGGAAGACGACGACGATCTGTCTTCTCAAAGGACTATCGTCTTCAAGAAGGGCTTTCCAATTAATTGAACCATGAATAATTTTCTTTTAAAACTACTTTAAAGTTTCCACTTAGTACCAGAAGGAGATTTCACAACCCATTTCTATAATTGGATTAAGCAGCCTGCTTCAGCCTGAGCAATAGGATTGATTCCTTTCTCTGAGTGTTCTGGACATTACAAGTCTCTCATATCCTAAGCAAAGTTAGAGTGAGGCCTCCGTGTAACAGGGCCCTGGAGTGTGGTCCAGCCAAACCCACTACTTGAAAGACACCTGTTTCCTAAAGAGTAAAGCCTGTACACCTTGGCAGAATACTCCATGCTCAGAAGCGGAACTCTTACTACCCCTGGAGAGCCCCTTGGCCCACAGAGCCCTTGGGAGACAAGTCTTAGCCTATGAGGAGGGGCCTGGATGCAAAGAGATGTGAACACAGGATCTGCTAGGCCAAACCATGGAGGAAGGCGGGGATAAAATCAACGCCAAGCAGGTGGAGTTGGGGGTGGGGGTGGGGAATGCCATCCCCAGAGAGAATGCCAGGAATATTCAGTGGCTGACACAGAGAAGGGCCAGCAGCTGAGCATGGCTGAGCTTGGTGAGCAGAAGGTAGGGAAAGGCCTGACAGAAACCTAATAGCCAGCCTCAAGAAGGTGCACACCCAGCCAGTTCTGGTGGTGCAGACCTGTGATACTAGATGTGAGAGACCCAAAATCCTGGCTGTTCCTCCTAGAGGGTGTGCCCTCAGCACTGTGCAGTACTGCCTTCTTGCTGAAGCAGGTGGGCAGAAAGCAGTTCTCCAAAACATGTCCAAAAATGGCAGGTACTTCCACAGGTACCACCCCTGGACCATTTTGTCCAGTAACTCACAAGAACTGGTTCTCTTTGCAAACCTTGGGCATCCCTGTCTCTGGACCTTACTGTGTTTTATGCATATTTGCGTCGTCATCTATAACCCAATGCTTGGGCCATGGTCTATACTCAACAACAATAACTGGGTTCCATGACTAGAATGAACATTATGTGGCTGCAGGCGAGCAGTCTACCTTATCACAGCTCCCGTACTACACTCCCCAGGCTGAGAACGAAGAAAAGTATCCAAGGGAAGGACATGGCCAGGAGCTTGCGCCTTCTGCCTACCTGTTTTTTAGACAAACCTGGAAGGATCCGGGGTCCCGGTGAAGTAGTGGATGCACGGTGAACTTCGGTTCTGAGGCAGGACAGACACTATACTGGATGTAGTGAGGAAAGACTCAGAGTCTATGCAAACTCCACTGGCTTTATCCCGTAAGATGTTAATCATCGTCTGCACAGTGATGCTTTCTAAGAGGGAGAGGGAGAGAGAGAGAGAGAGAGAGAGAGAGAGAGAGAGAGAGAGAGAGAGAGAGAGAGAATATAGCTGTGAAGGCTGGCAACCAAGACTGATTTCCTTTTTTCTATTTACTTCTCAACTCCTGAATATAATTCCCAATTGCCCTGATAAACTCTGGCCAATGGGAGATGAGCAGAAATGGCGTATGTACATCTCTGCTCACACCCATGCTCTGGCCTTCACTTTTTCCTCCTGCCTTCCTGCTGGCTGGGAGAGGTTAACAAGTACTTCACAAACTGCGTCCCTGAGTTGAACAGAAAAACCCCCAGTCCTGGACTCTCTCTCTCCATGTAGATGCTAATGTGGGAAAGAAATGGCTTCCAACTCTTTAAGCCATATTAACTCAGATCTCTTTGTTATAGCCTTACCTCTACCTCAACTAGCGCAATGACCGAACAGACACACACACAAGAAACTGTGTGGTGCCTAAACGTGGCCCTCCACACTCTCACCTCCATGCCTACTCGCTGATCGGGGTAAGTGTACTATTTGAAGAATGACCACTTCACAGTGTGAAACACACAGAGGAGCATTCAGAGTGCCCAGTCTTTAGGACTATGGACTCCAAATTCAGATGAGTGGGCTGAGTCCCTGATGACGCATGATCCCACTCCATCACGTCCTCCTGTGACTATGACTCTGTTAAACAGCCTTTCAGCTGCATGTGGTGGCTCATGCCTATATTCTCAACATTCAGGGGGCTGAAGCAGGAGAAGCACTCATTTGAGGCCAGCCTGGGCTACATAGTTAGTTCCAGGACAGCCTGAGCTAAATAGGGAAACCTTTCTCAAAATACAAAACCAAAACAAATCAAAACCGAAGCTGTGTGGAAAAGCAGCTAGCTGGCCAGCCGTGGACCCCAAGTTCCAGGTCAGAACCTGCAATAAATTCACTCTTCCTCAAAACCCCTCCCCCAAATTACCAAAAACAAGCATGCAAGCCAACAACCCCACTCTTAGCCTGAGTGCACCAAGATGGACTCAGAGAGAAGATTCCTTATGTCCTCTTTGTAAATCTCTTACATTTTACACACAATATTAACAATGTCTTTGGTTTCATTACCTACCCCGTGTCCCGATTTCCTGCCTCTCTGTCGTATTCATTTGAATCCGTCTCTAGCAGGTTGGTAGTATCTCTGACATCTTCTGTCTTGTATTTCTTCCCTTGCTTAGGCCCTGCCAAGTCTCCTAAGGTTCCCCAGTCTGGACTGGGCAGGTGGCGCCCCCTGGAATTATAACGTGCTCCTCCACCCTGTGCTTCTGATTAACTAGTGCCGATTTAGGGCTGATGTTTGAGCAGGAGAAATAATTTCATCACTAGTTTTATTTTAGCTTAAAACATTTGGAACTTTCTCATGAAGCTCTCACTTAAAAATGAATATTCCCACGCCTTTGTATACAACAATTTCTACAGCAAAGTCCCAAAGCAATATTCTACATCAAGGATCAGAAAACATTTTCTTAAAGAACCAGATAGGGGATATGTTAAGCCTCTGGACCATGCGTTCTCTGTCACACTGTCCTCACAGCAATTCAGCTCCACCACTATAGAACAAAGGTGGCCAGAGGCAGTACATAATGAAATGAGTTTGTGCTGCAGTTTGGACTTGAAATATCCTCTATGGCTGTTTTCCAATAAAACTTTATTCACAAAAAAAAGCCACTACTAGAGGACATACTTTGCAGCCATTAGTTCTAAATGATCTTTTGATTGACAGATAATGCATGTATAACTAGCAAATACAAAATGTGACCATTATGAACCTGGGGGGGGCAGTTTCTATTCACACATATAAGGAGCCATCTGTTCAACACATTTACCTAAATATGGGTTCTTAATCAGAATTCAGTAATGTACAGCATTGCTAAATGGGTTATAAAGAGAATCCAGTTCAATAGTCCAATTCAGAAGTTCATGGGCAGAAGCAATACCCAGGCACCACGGGAGGACCTCAAAGTGAGCAGAGGCTTATCCTGCTGGCTAAGTGGGCTAGGAAAGAGGGGTTCTCCCAAGTTTCTGAAGCTATAAGGAAGGCTGCAGTGAGTACCACAAAGAATCACATAATAGCAGTGTTTACATCAGTAGGAATAGAAACCCCCACAGGTTCCTACAGGTGTGGAAGCTGCGTGTAACACGTGCAAGCTGGCCCCTTGCCTGCACACCAGGACGTAAGGTAGAAGTGGGTCTTTAACTTGCAAAGCTTATTCCCTACTCCTCCTCTTTGTTGATCCTCTCAAGTTCAGCCAAGAACAAGAGTGCAAGAAGGAGAATTGTAAGGGACAGGTTAACTTACCCTCCTGCTTTTCTAAGCTGTCTTTGCCTGCACAGCAGTCTAGATGGTCATCGGCTGGAGAAAAAACCTGGGCAAAATTGAATTCATCCTCTCCTGTCCACCAGCCTTGACTCTGAGCATACGTCCGGAGTTCCGGATGCTCTTCGTCCATCTTCGTTGTGAGTGACAGCTGGTTGCAAATGCACCTCACCCCCTCTGCAAAGAGGTGAATGTGTGGTTAGTGGTGGGAACCCCAAGACTGCAGGGAGAAATCAGTTCCATTTCTGAGAAAAGAAACATGGAATCCTTGATCCTCACTAATCCAGGAGACACCCTCAAAGGTTCAGCCTGTCTCCATCAGACATTGTTATAGCTTAGATGGACATCAGCTTTACTGATCTTAAATTCACAAACAAAATGAAACACTAGAGGCCCTTTATTCACACTAAATAAGCCCTAAGCATTCATGTTTACAGGGAAATTGAGCAGTTCTTTGAAAGGACTGCTGTGCTCACAAGACTTGGGGATCTGTATGTGATTCACAACATAAGTGGTTCTCAACCTGTGGGTTGTGACCCCATTAAGGAGTACATCTCAGATATCCTGCATATCAGATATTTACATTGTGATTCATAACAGTAGCAAAACTACAGTTATGAAGTGACAATGAAGGTGATTTTATGGTTGGGGGTCGCGACAACATGAGGGATTGTATTAAAGGATCGCAGCATTAGGAAGGCTGAGAACCACTGCTATTCAGGGATACTCCATGACGATCACAGGCTCCCCCTCCTAGAGGAGCAGCCTGCCACCCCCACCCCACTCCCTCCCACAGATGAAGGGTGACTTGGTCCTAAGCTTCAAAGGGATGTCTAGACTGCCGAGGCCAGGCTACCATTGCTAGATCAAAAGGGCCATTCACACAGGCTGCTCCCAGGAGGCATGCTGAGCTTCCAAATTCTTGGAGAATGAAGAACTAAGAAAAAAGCTCCAATGGACCACTTACTGCCTGAACCCCACTACAGCAGAGCCCCTGCTGCCTGACTCGGGGTCCCTAGAAGCAAGATCAGCTGGACCGAGTTTTCCCAGGATGCCTTGCTTTGATGATTGACACCTCCAAAATATGCACTCCTGACTGAGAGGCACCAGTTGCTTGGCCATTCATTTTTTTCAGAGGGTATCACTAATATAAAATATCATTGAGCAATAGAAAACAGCTATGGTCCAAACAAGTGAGTTTGATACCATCCATACTAAGCCATTCAAAGAAAGAACTGTTTTTGTATGCACAACAGATGTTATTTTCCTAGAAGGCTGATTTACAGTAGACATTTGTTTTTAAGAATCAGAACTGAGAGCACAGAGTGCATTAACTCCTACCAACATCAATCACAGTGCCATTGGGGTCAGAGAACAGGAAATCGATGAGTTAAAAAAAAGGGGGGGCTCCAGAAAAAAAATGTTTAGTGAAAAACAACACTCATTTTGTAGAGATGGACTTTTATAAGTGATGCTTTGAAGGGAGCTTGGCTTCTGAAATGCAGTTACAGATCAAAAAGTCTTAGATTCTACTTAAAAGCAACTAGACTGCTTTGAAGCACAGCCCATCGGCCTTCCCGAGAAAGCCATTTGATAACATCACTTTATCTTAGGAGGGTTTCTGTAAAGGAGTTTTCAGTTCCTACCAGGAAGGAGAGCTGGAGGTCTGGAGGAGGAGCGGCTTTTATTTTGCAAACACTCTAAAGCCTGGGAAGGGAGCATGCATAGGTCCTGAGAGATGGGTGCTGGGCACATGGATGTAGGAACACTCCCTGTGCTGCTGGTGGCTCGGCCAGCCCGTTCCACACGCTGTGAGAACGAGCAGTCAGTCTTCACACACACAGGAAACCCGTTTAGACTTCTTGGTCTCTACAGGGCAGCTTTGTACAGGAAATACACACTAATCTTGGGGGAGCCTTGGTTGCTGGAACCTATGCACAAAATCAGGTTTGGCTCCCAGTGGCCATAGAAGACCAGACTCAGATCAGATTTGGCTCTCTGATTACCTAAAAAGCGGGGTGGCAAACATATTGCAAATCTAATAGTTTTCATAGTTAACTAATAAAGACCTCATAATAAAAAATACACTGGAAAAAAATATGCAGCCCCGTAGAGGTTCAACAAGATACAAGTGTGATGGTGCACTAGCTGAGACTACCTGGAATTCGGCTGGGAGAATGGCAGTACACATAGTGTGTAGGTATCATCCTGTCCCAAGGAGGGCAAGGGGGCTACCGCTAACCACATTTCTTTGGAACCATTTCTTTAGAAGCCCTTTAATCAATTCTAGGATCCTACCCCATTGGGAATCTGAGGGAGGGTGCTGGGTGGTGGTACACTGTCTCAGTATTGCCCCCAAAGCAAGAAGCTGCATGAACTAGAAAGACACTTCTCCTGTAGATGGCCAAGTCCATGCTCTTCTAGGGATGTAGCCTCAGATGGATGACCTGGTTGGCCCTGAGTGGCACTCAGTAGTCCTCACAGATCCAAGTTTCTATTTCAGAGGAACAGTCTTGAGAAGCTAGGGAGCTGGGGGTGACAAGGGATTTGTTGTTATGAATGAAGACTCCCCATTCCTTTCCCTAAATCATAGTCAAGGCCTGCAGTCAAAACTAGGTATGTCCAAAAAACAAACAGGAAGTGTAAAAAGTTAGCTGTGTACTTCCTGAGTCTTGATATCCTTTCACAGGACTCAGGAGACTCTGGATACATTTCCAGAAACAGATACCTGGAAGTGAGAGGCAAACCTAAGCCTGATGACCAGTGCAGAGTTGATGCACCACAGCAGCCTAGCTCCTCTGAGATGGCCCAGCATGTCCGACCAACATCATCTCAGCCTTCAAACTCTATCCTGCACCTCCTCACCTGTGATTCTCTCGGCAGCCCAATACTTCCCTACGGTCTCCAGCACCCAGGCTTCGTCGCGATCCACCAGCAGATATGCACTTTGGAAGCTATGGCAGGAATGTGCATCTTCATAATAATTCCCACCTTGTCCGTGCTCATCCAACAAGGAGACAATGATGTCTAAGGCTTCTTTAGCTGTTGTCCCTCGTTCTAAACCAAGCCTAAAGGAAATCAGAAGTATACCTGCATCATTTCAGACCAGATGATCATTACCATAGCAACCACAGGTTGGGACAAGGTTATATCAGGAAACATGCCAATGTGTACAAACATTTTAAATATTCAGACCAATATATGAACTAGTTAATAGTTCTTTAACTCAGAATGCCTCTCGCATATCCTATTACAAACTGTAGGAATGTGTTTCTTTAGACAATCCATAAGAATAGACGTATCAGGGTCAGCCCCTCCTTATTCTTGGCTGACCGTATCTCTCATCAAGTTCAGCTCTAGCCTAGATTTCCTCCTGACTGCTGCCTAAGGAAAGGAAACCCTCACAGCCTAGATCAACCGTTATTCTACAGTGAGTGCTTTGGATACTGTTGTAGCCTATTTGTGTCTCCCCAAGACATTGAAATCCTAACACCCATGAGATGGTATTAGGAAGTGGGTCTTCTGGGAGATGATGAAATCACAGGATTGGCACCCTTATGAGTGCCACTAGTGTCTTTTATAGAAGAGGCCTCCTCAGAGAGCTGTCTTGCCTCATTCCACCATTGGAGGACACAGTAAGTAGATGCCGTGGACGAATCAGAAGGCATCCACATTAGACATTAAATACTGGTGCCTTGATCTTGAACCTCCTTGTTTCAAAATCTATGAGCAATGCATTTCTATTGTTTATAACTATCCCATTTATTTTGCTACGGTATTCTATAGTGGACTGAGAAAACTGGATCTAAGGTTTGATTGCCAGCCATTGTCCTCTGTGTATATAATTTTCTCAGAGATCTTATCAGAAACAAATTATAATATGACGGGTTCTTTTTCTATGTACTTCCCTCCTACACATCAAACTGTATCAACTGATGTTGCTTATAGCATCAGCTATCAAAAGAACACAGATTCCTTCTAAAGTGAGCCAGGCATCTTCCTTCCCCAGCCCTATCAATGCATAAGTCTGTTAAGGGGAGAACAGACACTACCTTCTTCATGACTTTGGGTAGCATATATAAAAGCTTTGAACTTCAGCTTTATGCCATCTGTGAAACGTGTCAAGGTTTTCAAGGAGTTATAAGGTAATAAACATGAAAACACATAGCACTAAGGGCCAAGCTAGTAAACAATCCACTTCAGCAGGTGGGACGCTGTGAAATACAAACCCAAAGAGCATGGGCCCAGCTCCAGCTCTGGTTATGCTACTCTGTGGCAGTCTGCCCTAAGACATGGGACCTCTCCAGCTCTTTGTACTCATCCTGGACATGTGCGCACACAACTACCTCCCCCTCAAGCTGAGATGACAGGAAACAGCACGTGAGATGCATTTAGTTCATTTTGTCATCCATCCATTCAGTCGAACTATTGCTCTGCTTGAAGGAGCTCACATCTTAGAAGAGGGCAGCGGAGCTACTTAGGTGGTAACATTGCCTGTCCTTGATAAATTCATGACTTGGGAAGTAATGACTACTTAAATTCTCTCAATCGAATGCTTCCTAAGGGATGCCCCACTGTGCTGTCATGGAGAAGAAAGGATAATCCAACTGTGAGTGGAGCGAGCTGTGGACTGAGCCCTGTAATGGGCTTATTTCATAGTCACAGCGTTATATCCAAAGTCACTTGACAGGTCTCCTTTTACATTTATTTAGGGAGACTTGATTACAGAGCCATAATTCACAAAGTTGAACCCTAGGGCCTTGAGGGAGTAATAAAAGAAAATCCTGAGCCTTGAGCTTCACAAACAGGGTGGCTAGGTTTCAAACTGTTGTCTGAGCCCTCCCTCCCTCTCTCCCTCCCTCCCTCCAAGGCAGCACATTATCTATACCTCTGGCAGGAATGAAAAGAACCAAGTCTCTGAAAAAGACATTAAGTAGATTTCCCTTTGTCAGTGCCATTATCTCCTAAAAGGAGGGGCATCTCAAGGATTTGGACTAAAATCTTTTCCAGGATCCCTGGTCATAATGCCTCATGGTTCAATGCCCTCAGGCCTCTGCATGCCTAACTGGACCCACACAAACACACTCCAGAAGCATGCTACCATGGCTGTGTGCAATAGTCTTTGGAGGTTGGAATTTCTGTTCTGTAAATTCTAGTGTGCACAGCTGATGTCCTGCCTGCTGAAACCCCATCCAGGCTCTGTATTTGCACTTTCCCCTCATCCAAACATGCAAGCAGAATTCCGATTTCGCTGCTTCTCAGATCAACATAATGAGTTAGATGCTATCTATGCCTTTAACCCACATGACCATTCCCACCCGGCCTCCGGCCACAAGATGAGGACAGGACTGCCCACTCCACAGCACAGAGGCAGGTAAGGACACTCTCTACCTGAGCTCAAGAGGTATAAATGAGTCACTGGACAGGAGGCCATCACTCAGCATCCTAAGGCATAGTTTGAAACTGTTCCCACCCATTCTAGCCTCCCAGGTGGCTAGAATGGTGGGCTAGAATGCACAGGATTCCAAATGAAAACAGCATGCTTCAGGCCCAATGCCTAATTTGAGTTGGTGACTATGCCTTAGCCTAGGAAAGACCAGGACAGAGATGGGTTGGAAAGGTACACATTAGTCCCATCCAGACATCTGCTTCCTTCCAAAGTGCTTTGTCTAAGTTGTTCTGGATCTAAGAGTTAGATGTTCCTGGATTCAAATCTTGGTTTTGTGAAAGAAAAAAATTGAGTCCCATAGCCTGCTCACAGGTGGATCATACTTCCCTGCCCATTCCTGAAAGGAGAGTTCATCAGATGGCATCTGCACTTTGGTTTAGGAATCTGTCTGCTGAGCTTTGCTATATCTATAACTCTGTACATTAGAAGGGGCTCCCCTCTGTACCCCAAATAAGAAAAACTAGGTAAAAACTGGATTGAGTTTAGTAAACCATTGCTATTCTGAGGCAAGCAATGAAAATAATTAATATCCCACCCTAGAGGACCCTGTTCTCAAAGGACACTGTCCTTGGAGGACTCTTACAAATTACCCTCCCCACTTCCTACCAACACATCCTCAAGGTCCCACTGGTTTGTGGCCTTTTGGACATTTAGAATATTCTCAGAAAGGGCTGGGCGTAGGATGATGCTATGAACAGGTTTGTGCCCATCTTCAAAGGCTGGATCCACTTCCCCTGTGCAGTAGCAATCAGAGCTTTGGGAAGTGGTTAGGCCATGAAGATGGAGTCTTTGTGATGATGTCAGGGTCCTTAGCAAAGAGACACAAAAGGTTGTCATCTCTCGGCTGTGGCCATCTGTACCTCAGATGGGACCTGTTGGCACTGTGATCTTGAACTTCCCAGCCTCCAGAACTGAGATATAAATATCTGTCATTTAAACCTCCCAATCTGTTAGGTGCTGTGTGAACTTGAACTTTAAAATGTATGGAATTGTTTTGGATTGAGCTCCTGCAACAGGCCTCAGCTGACCAGTTCAAACTTGAGCTGCCTAGGCTAAATGCCCCATAACCGGAGCTTTTGAAGGCAGAGTTAACCCACGCCTGCTTCTCTTTAATGAACAATAGATTCTAGTCTGCCTGAGTCAGCATAAGAAAGTCCCTGGAACTGGAACTCTTTCAGGAAAGTAACCTGAAGTCACCTAATGTTAATGGGTTTCTTTTTCTTCCCCGAGTTATTCTGTTTCTCCTCTTCCACTCTGTAAAAGCCAGTGTTCCACTCTTACCTGCTGGGAGCTTATTCTGCTTTCCAGAATGAAGGCTGCCCTGATTCATGTGCCAGGAATAAACGCCAACTCAATCTAAAACTCAATTTGCTGTCATTTCATCTTCTGACAGGGGAGAGGGGGGTTGACCTTTTGACTCCTTTCCATTTCAGTCTCCCTGGAAGAAGTAAAGCGGGATCTAATCTGGAGAGAAGTGGTGCCCTGGTGTTCCCAGCTCAGCCACCTCCTAGCCCTGGGACGTTGGGCAAGCCGCTTAACTTCCCTAATTTCCAGTTTCCTCATCTACCATAGGAATTAGAAGACCTAGCTATCTGGCTTGTTGTGGTTGTTAAATGAGGTAATATGTATAAAGCCAGTTTCCCAAAAGAGTTCAGGACATTACGGCTTTAATTACGCAGGTGCTTCCCCTGCAGGTAATGGCTGGGCCTTCTTTCCCATCACCTGTGGGCTCCTACGTTCGCTTACAACCTACTATAAAACCACGAGTCTTTCCAAATTTTTCTGATATGAGGAACAGCTGATGGGTTGTGTTTAGAACTATAAGATGCTCTGAAATGCTGAGACTGGCCAAATTTAGTGCCAACATCAAACCCAGTAAGAAGCAGGAAAAGTCAGTCTGCAGGGGAATGGCTCAGAGGACCTGAGTTCAGATGTAATATAATGCTGGGTGTTCACCTGTAATTTCAGGCCCCTGGGAATTCAAAGACAGAGGAATACCCAGAGCAAGCTGACTGGTGAGGCTAGCTGTGCTGGGAGGCTCTGGGTCTTATTGGGAGACCCTCCCTAAAGAAATGAGGTGGCTGAGTGATCCGGGAAGGTTCCTGGGCCTCCTCGTGCATGCACATACATACATGCATGCACACCACACACCATGCTTTGCTTGGACTATGGATCCAGCTGGCAGGAGCTTACATGAGATAGGGGGCTAGCAGCTGGTGGGAGCTAACATTAAGATGGAGGGATGTTTTCTGGAAGTCAAGCTGTCTCTTACACCCGAGGTCCATTACATCTGAGGTCTGTCTGTCCTGATGATGCCTCCTGGCCTCAATCCAGATGAGAACCAGGAGGCATTTGGATCCCATTAGAAATGAAGGGGGAGGGGGGCCTGAGCTGCAGAAAAATAAAAGGATGAAACTGTTGTGTAAGGGACAAGTACAGTGCATGGATAGAATGCAGTGCTCTGTGAAACTGGCTGGTACCCACCTGCTCGGAGAACAGAAGGTTAATTTAACAGAAGGTTAAATCTGAAGGATTTTTGAGCTGGTTGCTAATCCTTCATCACCTTTAAATCTATCACAGTTGGAGTTTTTACACCACAGGTGTTGGAAAGGCCACAGTTTCGGGCTGCTGCCCCACTTCTAGCTGATTACTAGTTATTTCCCAGCATCCCACTGTCTAATGGAATCCAAATGCTTCCTGGTCCTCATCTGGATTGAGGCCAGGAGGCATCATCAGGACAGACAGACCTCAGATGTAATGGACCTCGGGTGTAAGAGACAGCTTGATTCCAGAAAACATCCCCCCATCTTAATGTTAGCTCCCACCAGCTGCTAACCCCCTGTCTCATGTAAGCTCCTGCCAGCTGGATCCATAGTCCAAGCAAAGCATGTGTATGTGTTTATATGTGGGGGTGAGGTGGGGGGCTGCGGGAGGACTAGCCAGAGATCCATAAATAAGAATGAAAGGAGGAAGAAAGGGATGAGGGGTAGGAAGGAAGAAAGGGAGGGAGGGAGGAAGGAAGGAAGGAAGGAAGGAAGGAAGGAAGGAAGGAAGGAAGGAAGGAAGGAAGGAAGGAAGAAAGGGAGGAAGGAAGGGAGGAAGGGAGGGAAGGGTGAGCCAGGGAGGAAGGAAGGGAAGTGGGGGGAATACTAAAAGCAGACACGGCTTGGCTTTTAGCACTAAGAATAAATTATAACAAGTGTGGCTTAATGCTTGCATTCCTACATGCCTCTAAGAAGTACATACAATTTATACCTTTACCCTGAAGACGGTACCTATTAAACCAAGGCTGTCACTCAGTCTCTTGGAGCTGAGCTTGGACTTGACATATGGGTGGAAGGCACGAAGGACCAGAGTATGCAGACGGCAGCAGCTCTATTCTGTGAATACCCAGCCACAGTCTCACAGACACTTGAAGTAGGGTGTGAAATATAAATAGTCTGTTCTTCCAGGAGCTGCCCAAGAAGCTGGCAGCCAAGCACAGAGGACAAACAAGGACAGCACAAGAAATGATGCTCACAGCACAGCTGGAAGGCCATCTCCAGCTGTGCAGCAGTATGCTCCACCTGCCTGCTGAGGTAGACTGTGGGCCACCCCCACATGCAGTCACGTGAGGGTGGGGGTGTGGTGAATCTGTCTTTCTAGCTGGCTTCTGGGCAGTGTTCCTGTAGAGGCCAGGCTTTGAGAACAGCCCTTCTAGGATTTTGCCACTCACAGTGCTGTGGTTGTGATCTACATGAGTGGGTCTCACCTTGCAGGCCATGCTGCGCCCCCATTGGGGGTCAAAGGACCTTTTCACAGAGGTTGTCTAAGACCATCAGAAAACACAGATATTTACATTACGATTCATTAACAGTAGCAAATACAGTTATGAAGGAGCAACGAAAATAATTTTATGGCTGGGGGGTCACTACAACATGAGGAACTGTATTAAAGGGTTGCAACATTAGGAAGGTTGAGAACCACTGATCTACAGTATTCATATTTCTACAGCTCCCCAGTTAACATTGGAGGACTCTGGGCTCAGGAGTCATTCACAGAACTTGCTTGGTATGAAAGACTAGGCTTAGCCAGTTTAAAGCTGGGCCCAGACTCTGAACTAGACCCTGAACTTAGACATCTACTCTAGGTACAGACTGTGCATGTCCTCCAAGAAACTGCCATGCTCAGGGTATTTGTCACACTGTTCTTATTGCAACAGCTATGTGTGGGCCCAGGGGAGATGTCAATTTAAATGGCTACGGGTCAGCCATCATCAACTTCTGCATGTATCATTACCCCAGACTTTGATAACTCTCACAGCACCAATTATCCACCAATTACAGCTTCTCTGTCTCTGTCCTTCAGTCCTGGAGATCCCCATGGAGTGTGTCTTCCCTGAACAACCCAAATGCACCAGGCAGGGAGCCTTCAAGCACCCAGGGTCTATGGTGGGCTAGCCCTGGAATTCACACCCAGAAGTGTCTGTGAAGGCACAGCCCTGGAATTTTGTGCCACTTGGGTGTCGTTAGATCCCAGAATCCTCTGCTTCCCCTCTCTGTTGCCTTTAGTCACCCTTAGATTTGTGCTGTTCATTCAAACTTGACATTGGAAATGTAAGCTGTGAAGCTTCACGTTTTATACTTTCAGTACTGTTTATATTTTACATACTCATCCACCACTGGGGGGGGGGGGAAGATCCATGGTAGAGTTAGGACTAACACAAAACCAATTAGCTTTATATCCTCATTCATCACTCAATCCTAACTGTATCGGAGTTCATTACATTGCACAGACTTTTGGTATGGTTAAATGGGTATGGGATATTATTTATTTACTTGCAAGGCTTTTATAATAAAGTTTATAAAATAATTTCGTTTCTCTGGACTCAGTTTTTAAAAAGACTATGTGTTGTTCGGTTTTCTCTCTTCTCCCTGCAGGCAGGCTGCAATCTCTCTGCAGCCTTGAGCATTCTCATGCACAGCAGGGTAAAGAGCACATAGATACTGAGCGGGCTGCTCCCGGGCTTGAGAATCTCAGGAAGACAAAATGCAAAGCATGAAAGGAACGGTGTTCTCCATCAACACTCAGAAGTTAACTTCCTGGATTAGATGTCGCCATCTCCCCAGGTCCCATACCGCAGAACTAGCACAGAGTCACAAATGAGGGACTTCATAGGGGTGTTTTCCATTGCTGATTCTTCATTTTCAGGGTTTCTACTAAATGTAGAGGTTCATTTTTAAAAAGAAAGAAAAAATACTAAGTAAGGGAGATGCCAAAACCAATTCAAAAGTTGTTGGTCTACATGTTTTGTTGGGAAAAATGAAACTGGTTAAACATAGAAGTTTGTCTGCCTCTTTTCCAGTTCTGATTTTACCCAGACTAATATCCCAGAACTCAGGAGGCTGAGAAAGGAGGATCGTCAGTACTGGGCCAGCCTGGATTACAAAGTAAAACACTGTCTCCGAAGGGAAGGAGTGAGGGAGAGAAAATGATAAAAAGAAAAGAAAATGGCACAGAAATGCTACCCAAAGGCCATCCCTAGCAGATCTGCATGGGGTTGGCAGAAGTCATGGGGTCATAGGCACTTCTAGGAAAATGTTCAGTTTCCCCCAAGGGGGGAAAAAACTGTCCAAACCTCGGTTCTTCTTCCTAGGAAGTTAGCTTTGGGACGTTCTAGTGCCATCCAATAGGCCTTGTATTGAAACCGGAGGGGACTTGGCATAGAGAAGAACCATCACTTGGTGTGTCCACTCCACTCTGAAGGCCAAGCCCTCCATCCCTCAGCTCCATCTTCACTCAGCTACATCCTGATTCCGCGTCAGAGGAGTAGTGCTCTCTCCCACACTCTAGTCTCCTTATTCATGCACCACTCAGCTACCCATCACCCTCACATGCCAGGCCCAGGCCCCATACTTGTGCCACAGGGGTGAAGAGATATCAAGATCTCAGCCCATCCAGCTTCCACATCTAGCTCTTTCTGGTCCATGGTGTCTAGGAGAAGGGAGAAAGCAGGAAAGACCACCAGGGGGCTGACAGGAGAGGGGTTGTGCCATCTGTGGTCTTGTTATATTTTATACATTGTATTATCCGTTTCTCTTGTATGCTATTATAATTTCTAATTCCATAATATTCTCCTATTTAAAATACTGTTTATAAAGGTTCAAAACTCTTGCTTGTGAATGAGGGATTTTAAAGACATGTTTTTCATTAACAGTTCTTCGTTTTCAGAGTTTCTATTAGAACAGTTTATACAGAAAGTTGTATAAGCAATACCACAACCTACATTTAAAACATCTTCGTTATCCCAAGGACACTGCCCTAACCCACTCCTGTACCCCATCCCAACCCCAGAGAAGCATTCATCCACTTTCTACCTCTGTGACTCCACCTCTTCTGTGATTCACACATGTGACATTTGTATCTGATGTCTTTGACTTAGTGTATATCATGTTCTCAAGACCCTATTTGTAACACATAGCAGTACTTAATTATTTTGTTGATAATATTCCATTACCATCTATTCTATTTTCCCCATCATCTTAGAATTTCTATCAAATGGAACGTCTTACAATACAGTAAGTACAGGAGAAAAGAATTCCCACTCCCATTGGCAGTGGTTTCAGGGAATCACCATTCTGTACCTGACCAGATCCATGCCCAGTAAGGCTTCCGTCTCAGCAGCCGGCTCTCTGGCAGTGATGGCTTCATTGGCTATGCATACCCCGTGTTCATTGGCTCCCATTTCTGCCCCCCAGAGCCAGGCAGGTCTGCTTATCACTATGGCGTGGGTCCTGGGAACTTGGTCGATTGAGATGTAAGTGCACTGAAAAGGAAGACAAGCAAGAAGGTGCCATCACCCGTGAGAAACCTTGGTACCTACGCTGGAACATCACATTAGTTACAGAGCTGCGAAGTAAAAGACCCGAAATGTCCAGTCTCCATACAGACACCTGGGGCAGCTGCAGGGTCCACCGTCTGGTCTGGCAGGGTCCCTGGTCTGGTCTGGCAGGGTCCCTGTGGTTTGCCCTTCGGCTTTGATCAAGCCAGTCTGCTCACAGTGTTTCCTCTCACACTATCACCCTCAGCAGGTGTGGAGCTGACCACTGCACTGCCATTCTCTGCCCGCTTACAGTTCTTCATCCTTATAGGCAAAACTCCAGCTCTATCAGTGGTTCCCAAACCCCCTAGAAGTCATGGCTCTCTAGCTTCAAAAGGAACTTTACCCAGAAAGCAGGTAAGAAGATGTGTTGTCTAAAGCAAACAAAAACAGGGCTTCTGAGGCCCTAGGGTCTGTGGAACATTTGACAACCTGTGATCTCAGCAGGGTAGAATAGGGGGACCCAAAACAAGGCTACCATTGCACTTTGACATGACAAGGAATCCTCACACCCCCCACTTCCCCTCCTAACCACTGGATTCTCATGCTAAGGTAGTAAAGCCACCAACAGGAAAACTTTGCAGAGGGGCAAAATTCTCTACACTAACAGTACACACTACTCCGAGAACCTGGGCCTAACCTGGAAGAATGAGGATGCTTGTTTAGATCAAATGACTACTAAGGTATTTTTAACCTCGGATCCTTCTGCCAGGGGCTGAGGATGAGGCTCAGTTGGTAGAGTGTTTTCCTATCATCCAGGAAGTCCTGAGTTTGATCCCATAAATCAGGCATGGTGGCATACACTTGGGAGGTAGAGGCTCAAGGATCAGAAATTCAAAGCCAGCCTTGGCTACATAGTAAGTTCAAAGCCAGCTTGGGCTATTTGAGATCCTGTTTCAATAAGTAAATTAATAAGCAAATCAACCACAAAAACCAAGTGCCTTCCTTTTACACAAACTGATGCACAGAAGGAAAATTATATATATATATAAAAAAAAGCTGGCCCACCAAAAGTGGTCAGGGGCATGGTGGGAAAGGCACTCAGATCATTGCCTGCTCTGCTTCCTTCCCCCTTCCCACGTCAGGCCTCACTCCACTCCCCACCTCCAGGGGACTGGACTGGGGCACTCAGTTATCCGTGGGGCCTCACGATTGCCTTCTGTAAGCCTGTAACGTGCTCTTTGTATGGTGTCTGTGGTGTGGAAGCACTGAGCTAGCCTCGAGCTCCCTCTACGTTTTAGATTGGGAGGCTGAAAGCACTGGGTCCAAGGCAGCCTGAGATAGCTTTCTTTTTTCAGTTCAAGTCAGCTGTTCGTGAACCGAGTGCAGCCCCGACAGGCACTCTGCATTGGCTCCCTGTAACCACTAGCTCTGTCCAGACTTCTCGGCTTCAGCGGCCACTTCGGCCCCTGCACAACTCACGTCAGGTGTTCCTCAGCAAGGGACTAAGATTATTTCGCCCAATACATTTTTAGAAACTGAAAGGTAATTAATCCCAGAGGTTTCCAAGAAATCCTTGAGGTAGGGGTGTGTGTGTGTGTGTGTGTGTGTGTGTGTGTGTGTGTGTGTGTGTGTGTGGCAAATGGACAATAAAACACACTCTTGAAATGTTTTCCCTGATTTACTTGTTGAAAATAATTTAGTTTTAAAAATGGCCCTTGCAGAACAAAAAGCTGGCCCAGCGATGCTCACAACTATACTCCTCCATGCTTTTCTAAATGGAAGTGAAGTTTCCATCTTCAAAACGTATTCCCTCCCTTGTACAAAGCAAGCAATTCCGTATCGCCATGGCTTCATGCGGAATGTCCCCTGACACCCATGTGTTAAAGGCTTGGCCCCCAGGGCAATAGTACTGTCACCAGACATTCAGGGGCAATTGCCCCAGCTCCATCAGCCCCAGCAGACTAGGCTCAGCTGACCTAAGCAATATGCCAATTAAAAAGAGCAGCAAATTACGAAAGACAGAGCAAGGAGAGCTAGTGAATGTCAGGAAGTGTCCAGGGACTCTTCGACTTCATCTTTGGGGCACTTATGATGAGCTCTAGGTTTTAATAGAGAGAGAATCAGGGTATAAGGGCACAGGGCATTCGCAAGGGTGAGGTACAGTCTGTTAATCACTGTCTCATCTGATTCTGCAAGGTGGTCTAAGAAAGATGTATTGCTTATGAGGACAAGCTGGTTCTCAGGAAATGATCGCTTTTGTTCAAGGCTTCAGCCTGGCTTCCATCGGGAAGGTGGTCTGTCCTGTGAGGCGTTGCTGTTCCTGGAATTCAAAGAGACTTCAGGTTTAAGACAATAAATGGTCTCTGTGCCTTCATCCTTGAAGGGGAATATGATAGGCTAAGTGACACAAGGCAAAATAGAAAAACAGAAATTAAACAACATGAGAAAGGAATAAAGGCCCCACTCTGAGATCTGGTTTGCCTTTGAGAGCCCACAAATTTCAACACAACTGATGAAACCAAAATTACCTACAGTGAGACTATGTGCTTACCAAAAGGCATCTCAAACAAGAGTGTTCAAAACAACAAATGAGGCGGCTGGAGAGATGGCTCAGGGGTTAAGAATTGGCTGCTCTTTCAGAGGACCTGGGTTCAATTCCCAGCCTCCACACGGCAGTTCACAAGCAGCCCACAACTGTCTGTAACTCCTGTTCTAGAGGATCTGGTGCCTCCTTCTGCTCTCCATGGCCACCAGGCACACATACCGTACAAAACACATACGCAGGCAAAACTCCTATACACATAAGATAAAAATCAAATAATTAAAAAACCAATGAATGTTGCTCACTGAAGCCCAGAATGTGTGTGCCCTTGAGTTCCACCTTTAAAAATACCACACAATTACATTTACAAAGAGAAATCATTGATACAAAAAATAACTACACCATCTCACATTTTCCCCTAATTTAAAATCTTTCATTTTAACCAGTTCGTAATCATTAAATCTTGTAAATTACATCCTTTGAGGACTTCAACTTTGGAAACCCCAGGATTAAATGTACAACCACATAAATCCCTACTCCTTAGAGAAGCCAACATCTGTATTCTGAGATTATGCACTGCCTGTTTCCTGTAAGAATCCCTGCCTCAACGCCTATTAACCTCACTAACTCTGCTTCGCTCTGGCTCATTCCCAAATTCCTTTCTGTGGCAGAGTCAAGGATCCAGCGTCACTTGAGCCTAAGTCCCTAAAGGAGAAGGAAATTTCTCCTCTGGCTGCTGGTGCTGTGTTAGGGTGGTCTTCTTGACCCGACCCCGCCCCCCACACACACACACACAGCAGACACACCTTGAGTGGCTGACATGCCCACAGCAGCAGTGAGCAGGAGGCTGACACATAGGAAAAAAACAGAAAAAAACAAGTAAAGGTTTTCCTCTTGGGTTCAGTTATCTATGGGCCCAAATGAGGGGCAGAAGCTTCAAAGTGCCTGTCCTGGAATCCTTCAGAGGTGCAGCCAAGTGAGAGCCTTGGGTCCCCAGAGGTCTCAATGGGACTATAGGACCCTGGCCTCTTTCTATCTTGATCCTTTGGGTCTTGATGTAAGCAGTTCTCAATCATGTGCTCTTGCCCTGATACCTGCCTTCCCACAGACCTAAGGTAACAGGGCCAAATAGTCACAGCTGGAAGCCCCAAACTGTGAGCCCAGATAAACCCTTTCCCTGCATAGCTTAGCTAGCGGGAGCATCCTGATGCTGAGGAAAGGCTAACCCAAGGCATTGGCCAAGACTTTTCAAGACTCCTTCCCCAAGGAGCACAAATGACAGATTTTATCTTGAAAAACACGAGTGAGTAGGGAAGGAATTGTGGCTTCTCAAGCATGTAGATTCATCGTTCCATTTTTTTTTTTTTTTTTGAGGCAGGACAATGTTAAAATAGGAAATGGTTTTATTAATGTATCCTCCAGTTCACTTCTGCTCACTCATTTCCATTTTACCAATTGTGCAGAGAGCACCCACTACACTCAGAGACAGAGCCAGCAGCAGCTGGGGCGAGGGCCAGAGACCCAAGGAGTTCTTTCCAGTGACCACTACTCACTCAGGGAAAGACGGGATTCTTGAATTTGTCACAGAAAAGAATTGCAGGACAAGTCAGGTTAAAGCAGAACTGGAGTTTACTAAGAGATGTCAGCAGAGACTTAAGCACTGGAGTTAGAGAGGCGCTCAAGGGGAGCACAAGACAGAGTCACGGGGGAGGCTTCCATTCTCAAGGGACACTCACACTTCAGTGTCTTACAAGTACCCGGATAGAGCATCTTGGCTACTGTCAGGTTGCATCTCAAAAGGTTGCTAAGAAGCATTTTTTTCTTCCTATTTCCTCTTTTTCCTTAAATGGGATTACAAGGTGGTTCCGGGGGGTCTTAGATAGGACTTCAGTCTGGTAAGGTAAAACCTGTGTCACAAAAGCAGCTCCAGGAGGTCCAACACATCTGTACTGAGACTCCTTGAAAGCTGCAGATCAGGGTGGGAGGCAGGAGAAAGGCTTCACTGGAAGCCCTATCTGCCTGGACTTTGCCTTGGTTATTTTTTCATTATCCTGACAAAAAAAAGCAACTTTGGAGACAATGGGTTTATTGGGGTGCACAGTCACAAGGTACAGTCTGTCAGGACAGTCATGACAGGAGGAAGAGTTCTGATTGCCAGAGCTGGAGGCAATTGCTCACACTGTGTCCACAGTAGGAAGTCAGAGAACCAGGAACCCTGGGGCCAGCTCCCTCTCTACCTCTCATGCAATCCAGGACAGGAGCCCAGAGAATGCCATTCACTTACCTAACCTCACAGGCATGGCCAGAGGCTAACCCAACCTAGATAATCCCACATAGACATGGGCAGAGGCTCATCTCCTAGGCAACTCTAGATCCTATTAAGTTGGTAATTGATATTGATATTAACTATCACAGGTCCTCAGACGTGATCCACTGCTATTTTAATATGTATTTGAAACAT